CAGAAGCGCCGACACTTCCTCATCATTCCACCGCTCCGGTGTTGTAGTACGTGTGGTCATAACTGCTTTAAAGTACAAAAAAACTACTCGCTCAGGTGTGGATGTGGTTTTGTAGCGAGGAAAGAAATGGCTGCCTAACAAAAAAAATGCAGAGTCTAACGGGGCGTGGTTTGCAATTCGCCCAGCCAATAGAAATAGAATAGAAATTGGCACTCTTTTATCACCAGGTTCGTACCACCTCTCTAGCAGGGACTGAAAATTGCCAAAAGAGTTCCCGGCACTGAGTAGTCCCGGCGGTGTGAACGCGACATTATTGGTACTAACGGAACTAAAGAACCAAAGTACCAGGGAAAGTCCTGCGGTGTGAATGCGTCTATTGTAGATTGTAGCCAACTTTCTGTGAAACATAATAAAGAGGCCTCACCAAATTCATGAAAGTACCTTGTGTATGTCCTTACTGTGTCCACTTTGTTGCTCAATGAGCGCAGGTTTGTGAGAATGATGGATGGAAGTGGTGGCCGGCTGAATCTCCGCCGTAGGCGATTCTGAACGCCTCCCCTCCTTCCTTGTCTCTTTTTCCTGGTGTTTCTAAGCGGCTCCCGAGGGATGTCATCCAATATTGAAGAGCACAGATGGCTTGATGTATTTGTATGATGCCGATCGCATTGTAGCTCCAGCATAGCCTCACGGCTGTTGCAGCGTAGATGCCGGGGCTCCTCGCCATACCTGCTTGTGCCGTCACTCAGGTGTTTCTTGGATAGTTGTATGGCCAGACATAGTCCGCAGAAGGCAAATGTAATCCACAGGATCAAAAGCATGGTCTCTCAAAATGACATTTCATACAGACACAACAACATTTAAACAATAATTAGACAAAACACAAGACGAACGGAACCTACTGAGACGCGCAGTGACAGAATGCCATCTCCCTCTGTCTCCTGTATATACCAGAGGTGGGAGTAAGTCATACTTGTGCAAGTCTCAAGTTACTGGGGTGAGAGTCAAGCAAGTCAAGTCATACGAAATCCTGATGAATAACCCCAGTTTCCGCATTTAAATCAGTTAAAAGTCAGTGGTTATGAAAAGTAGAGTTTTATTTTCAACATTAGCAACAATGGAGAGTGGGGCTCTGAAATCATAAAACAGGTAATATCGGGAATAATCAGGCAGTACGATATGTGTGTGTAGAGGTGTGTGTTGATCAAACGTAGCAGCCTGCAATCACTATTTATCTGTTCTAATGAAGGTAAACACAGTGAAGTAAAAGGCACAGCTCTTTGCAGCTGGTGCTGCTCTTCTCAGATTCTGCTGAGTTACACGTTACTGCCTCCTGGTGCTGCAGATATTTCATGAAGTGAAGGAGGTTTTCCTTCTATAAAACAGCTGTGGGCAGCAGATACTGTGAGAGTCACGGACATGAATTCATAGATCAAGGCAGACTGGTTAACAGACTCTCCTGTTTTGCCGATCCGGTGCTTAAACAAATAGCTCTCCTGGGCAAAATGTCCCTAAAATGAAGTCCGACTTGGAAATATATCTCAAATAACGTATGCACTGCCATTTCCCCACATAAACATAACAATCTGCAATGAAACGACTGTCTCCTATGCACTCCACTTCCTACTTGGCACACTGGTAACTTTCTCCTGCAAACAACTTTCTCTCACTCTTTGTTTTCATTGCCCTTTTGGGGCTTCGTACTGTACAAATGCAAATATTTTATTTCAGAAAGTAAAGTCCTTTCGAGTCATCCGTCTCAAGCCTAAGTCAAGTCTCAAGTCAAAGTCAAATCGAGGATGTTATCAATTTTAGTCAAGCAAGTCCCAAAACACAAAAATATGTGACTCGAGTCAAGTCATGTGACTCGAATCCCCCACCTCTGGTATTTACTGTGGTTAGAATGTTGCTGTTACTGTATCTAATATAATACAAATGTAATAAACACAAACAGTAAAACTAGTATTTTGTTGACTCAAGGTTTATATTAAGTGAGTTTTTATTGTGTTAACTGTATGCATTTATGCTTTTTAGATTTACTTTCTCTCTTTCTTTGTCCGTCTGTTCTAGAAACTGAAAGGAAGAGAGAGACGTCACAGCTGTCAGCAATGTGAAAAATCCTTTACAACATCTGCACATTTAAAGTGCCACCTGCGTATTCATACAGGAGAAAAACCGTACAGCTGTGAAGAGTGTGGGAAAACATTCAGGGAATCAGGTAATCTAAAAAAACATCAACGTATTCACACTGGACAGAAACCGTACAGCTGCGAAGAGTGTGGGACAACATTCACTAGATCTGGTCATCTCAAAGCACATCAACGTATTCACACTGGAAAAAAAACGTACAGCCATGAAGAGTGTGGGAAAACTTTCACTACATCAAGTGGTCTCCAAAAACATCAACGTATTCACACAGGAGAAAAACCGTACTGGTGTGAAGAGTGTGGGAAAACGTTCACTGCATCAGGTGATCTCCAAAAACATCAACGTATTCACACAGGAGAAAAACCGTACTGGTGTGAAGAGTGTGGGAAAACGTTCACTGCAATCAGGTGATCTCCAAAAACATCAACGTATTCATACAGGAGAAAAACCATACAGCTGTGATTTGTGTGGGAAGACATTCAGGGAATCGGGTAATCTAAAAAAACATCAACGTATTCACACTGGAGAAAAACCTTACAGTTGTGAAGAGTGTGGGAAACCATTCACTACATCAAGTGATCTACAAAGACATCAACGTATTCATACTGGAGAAAAACCGTACAGTTGTGAAGAATGTGGGAAAACTTTCACTACATCAGGTGATCGCCAAACACATCAACGTATTCACACTGGAGAAAAACCGTACTGGTGTGAGGAATGTGGGAAAATGTTCACTACATCAGGTGATCTCCAAAAACATCAACGTATTCACACAGGAGAAAAACCGTACTGCTGTGAAGAGTGTGGGAAAACGTTCACTACATCAAGTGATCTCCAAAAACATCAACGTATTCACACTGGAGAAAAACCTTACTGGTGTGAAGAGTGTGGGAAAACGTATTCTCAAAGTTCTCACCTTAAGCTCCACGAACGAATCCAAACCGCATAGTTTTGAACAACTATGAGAGCCAAGCTAGCTTTATTTTTATATTTGAAGAGTCTTTCTGAATTGAAGTCTGACTAACAGACTTAAATTCACAGAGGCAGTCTCGTTTGATGTCCCTGGACAAGCCCTGAGGTCCTTTTCAGCTTTTTAAATATCCCTAAAATCCCCCAAAATAAAATGGGTGAGGCTTTTATCCACTAGGCCCCCAAAATGAGGAACACCAGGAAATATCAGAGAGGCTCAGTGGACATTTTTAAACGCCTTCTAAAGACACATCTCTTTAGATTAGCTTATTAGCATCCCCCCACTTTAAATAGTCTTTTAGTCTATTATTTACCTACTTTTATATTGTTTTATTTGTAATATAGGAGGGGTTTTATCTTATATTAATTTTTTATTTAGTTTCAATTAAATTAAATTCAATCTGAGGGGATTTTCTTGTTGTTTATTGAACTATGAAGAAATGTTT